AAATTTATATGAATCTATTAAAAACTCATTTTTCAAAAAATTGTAAAAATGGGCTGTTTCTATTGACAACACCCCATGTGACTGTCAAGTATTTTATTGTAATAGCAATTAATTGCAATTTTTTGAACTCAATTGATTGGTGGCGCAACCAAAATGAAGCAATTAATTGCAATTTTAACTTAATTAGCTTACATATTATGTATTTGCCAAAATTGTTAATTACTGTAAAATACGTGATTTTTAGTTTTTCACTGTTTAAAAAATCATGTCACACTGGATACTCTGGTGAAAGAAATTGGATTGAAATTACAGAATTAATTGTAATTATTTGTCATTAATTTGGTTTCAATTATTTTTTATGAAAATTTTAATTGATTGCAAAATATTTAATAAAGATAAATTTAAAAATAAAAATCAATTTACAACCCTAAAAAAAAACTTCATTATAAAAGAAGATATTAAAATTTTTGCAATGATATTTTTTACTAGTAATTTAATATGAGCAAAAAATTTAAAAAATTTGTATCAAAAATTATCACTAATAATCAATTACTACTGTATATATCTTGCCCTATGTTTGATTAAACTAATTAATAACACACTATTCTTCTATGACATAAAAGCCATATAATTTGTTTGTGATTTTTTGTTTTTTTTTTTTGCTATCAATTATCTTTTACATTTTGACTCAAGTGAAGCTTTTAATGATAATATGAATATTAATTCTTTTATCCACTATTATCTTTTAAATTTTTAAAAGTTGTATTAGTGTTAGTATAAAGATAAAAAAAATCAAAAAACAAGCAAGTTTTATAAGTTATACTAAACTACTACTGTAATAAATCATTAATATCATTTGGAAGCTCAAGGGAAGAACTTGCAAACTGTTCCACGGTAGAGAAATTAAAATTCGTAGACACTATAAAGTAAATTATTGTTTAATTGCAAAATATAAATAATGTAAAATATTTTTAGTTCTGCTAATACCTTTAAGGCTTTTTATTATTTCTTGAACATCAATTAATGCGCTACAATACTTATTTTGAAGCATTGATAAGGATTTCAATGAGGCTTTTTTAATTATGCTGTCAGCATTGATAAACTTATTTTTTAGGTCAAGTTCTTCATCTGTTAAATTTTCTGATTCTAGGATTATTTTCCATTGAACAATTTTCGAATGAATATATTTTGCAGTAGGTCGCTTTTGTGGATCAGAATCTATGCATTGTTTGGCTAATTCAATATAACATTCAGGTGTTCCAGGAGCAAATTCTGGTCGTAATCCGTTGCAAATAGCTAAGGCAAGGTCAGTATTAAATTTCCACGCCAAATAAGGCCTTTCTCCAGTTGACATTTCTGCCATGATAATGCCTAGACTATAAACATCAGCCTCTTGTGTATGCTGATGGCCATTAAGAATTTCTGGTGCAACATATGGCATGACACCATAAACTACTTTCGAATTATGCTCATGTAGTTTTTTAGATAATCCTAGATCTGTAATGTATGAAACTATGTTTCCATCGATATTTTGATTTAATAAAATATTACCACTATGAAAGTCACTGTGAATAAACCTGGCTTCATGAATTCTAGACAAATTATAAGATATATCCACAAGTTGTTTTAATTTTTTTTGCCATGTAAGTTCTCTAAAATATTGGGTTAAAAAGTCAAAAAGATTTCCTCTATTAGCATATTGATATACCATCATATATTGGCCGGTCTCTGTATTCCGAGTTAACCCGTATATTTCAAGTTCACTACCCTCTAATCTACATTTCATGTGATTTTTAAACTTGAAAAAATATTTTAAAAAAAATTATATAGTTATACTGATATCGATATGCAATAGGTTTATAATTAAATTAATTTAACTTACCTCAGTTAAATAACCGGAGGAGCTCGTTTGAGAACCAGATAATGTTTTAAGAGCGACCATACAAGATTTGTTACGAAATCGTACATAACCCACATTGTTATCACCTTCTACCATTCGTTTACCATCTAACCAAATTGATGAATACACTGTACCAAATCCTCCCTTGCCAATAGTTTTTATATCTATTAACCTGTCAAATGGAATCCATTCAATCACTTTGTCGTATGCCGTAGCTTTAAGTTGAAAATCTTTGATGCAATCATCAATGTTCTTATTTCCACTTCCTATTTCTTGGGCTATTTTCGGAGGATCACACAATTGACACCATGCCGGAGATGTATTATATCGTTTACAATATTCACATATTCCATTTATGAGCTTCCTTTTGTTGTAGTAAAAATCAAATACAATCATATATTGTCCGGTTTCTGTACTTTGGGTTAGTCCATGTATTCTATATTTCTCTAATTGCATATGATATTCAAACTATCAATATTTATTCACTAATTAATTTGGATTACATTATTTAAATTATTTAAACAGTGAGCTAGTTAGCAAAAATTATTTTAACTTACTTTTTCTATATGATCAAAAATGCTTGTTTGAGAACAATGCAATTTTATGAGGTCAACGCAAGATATAGTGCGTGATTGTGTATATTTCCCGGATTCACCTTTAATTGTTCGTATACCATTCAACCATGTTGCTGTGAATATTAAATTAAATTCTTTAATTTCGAGATCTGATTCTCCTTTAGTTTCTTGATCTGATTTTTTAATTTCTTGTAAATTTATTAGCTTATCATATGGAATCCATTCAATTACCCTTTCATATTCCGTAGCTTTGATCTGAAATTCTTTGATGAAATTATCAATCTCTTCGCTTCCACTTGTCCATTCTTGAGCTGTTTTCCAAGGATTACAGGATTGACACCAAGCAGGAGAAGTGTTGTTATGCTTACAGTATATACATTTTCCATTTGAAGCGTTTCTTTTGGAACTAAACTCATCTGGTATCACCATTATGTATTGATTTGTTACCATATCTTTGGTGACTCCATATACAATATTTCCTTCCAATTCCATATAATTTGCAAGCTTAAGTTTATGTGTTAATGGATTGTTAATACTGATACTTAATACGTGAATGTCTATGTAAACAATAATTTAGTTTACCTCTTTAAAAAATTCACTTGCATGAGAACCATGCAGTATTTTAAGGTTAACTCCACATGAGCCAATGCGAGATCGTGTATATTCTACAAGCTCACCCTTGATTATTCTTATACCATCTAGCCAGGTCGCCATAAATATCATTTCTGATTCATTTTCTCTAACTTTTTGTAAATTAATTAATCTATTAAACGGAATCCATTCAATCATCTTTTCATATTCCGTTACTTTGTTTTGAAATTCTTTTATGTATTTATCAATATTATTATTTCCACTGGTCCACCCTTTAGTTGCTTCTTGAGGATCACAAAATTGACACCATGTTGGAGAAATGTAGTATCGTTTACATTTTGCGCATTTTCCGTAAAAATTATATCTTTAGGCGAAATATAATTATTAATTCTTTTGTCCATATTTGGCTTTTAACGAAATGATAAAACACGTAGGTAGTATTTACCTTTACAAACAGCAATCGATGAAAATTGTGAACCAATTATTGAATGATGACTTTATAAACTAATATCTACTATTTTCTACTTACTTACTATTTATCATAATTAAAAGTAATGTTAAATGACGAATGTCTATTGAAAGTTTCTTCCATAAATGAAAAGTTATACTCACAAACTGATAATTTTCATGAATTGAGAAGAAATATATTTAATGGTATTTCTTAAACACTAATTTTACAAATGAATCTCAATACTTACTCTCTTTAATGTATATTGATAATATGTTAGAATTTATTGTATATAATTTTGAAAAACAATTTAATAGAATTTAACACCAACCGTCTAATGAATTTATTTGATCAGAATAACTATTACTTATTAAAAATAAAATCAAATAAAATTATACTCACCGGCTAATAATCATGATTATTTTTTTGCACACGTAATTAAAGATAGTCATAAAAATTTTCAGGCAAGATGTCATCAATAAAAGGAGAGGGACTATATCATCTACGAAAACGGCATTGGAATAGTATATCTATTTATCGTTATATAATGTTAAGTGTGATATTTTAAACAGAAAATGAATTTTTTCTTGATTCAGATTTCATTACTCGTGACAGAGTAATTTCATAATGATAATATAGTAAAATTTACTCACTGCTAAAATAATAATCTGTGGAATGTTTCTAAAAAAAATATCAAAAACTGCACTCCATATAATTGCACCCCCAAATATGTGCTTTGTTATATTAAACATATTAAATGTATTGATTCGCTCGTATCGATATAATTTCTTAGTAAAAATAGGCACATCTTCCAAAATCGTCAAATACTCATAATCAGTTGCTATTAAAATAATAAACATAATCACTAAACCTCTGTATTCAATGATCCATTCTTGAAAATTTTCTCCAATAGCGGGATCTTTAGTTCCTTTGTAAATAGCATAGGTTGCTATACAAAAGTTTATGAGCAATGGGATGCTCAAGATGAGTACGCTTCAAATGATGGTTTTGTTTTTTGAAAGAATTAAGATAAAAATGATTATAACTTAATTAATTTAACACCGTCGAAAATAAATTTATTTGGTAAATACCTAGGTATGTGTAGGTGAAGCTCTGGTACATCATTGGAGTTGTGAGCAACAAAAAGAATTAAAAGTATAAAATTAGGGATGATTAATCCAAGCTTTAATGCTGCAGAGCTTATTGCCTCAAATTTTTTAGATTTTAGCTTTTTAAATAAAATTTTATTAATACTTGCGATGATTCTAAGAAAGAAAACTGTTATAATGAATAAATTCACCTTGAAACTGAGTATAGAAGATAATAAACGGATTATTGTAAAAGTCATAATTACAATAATTATTAATGCACTATATTTTTTTCCTATATCCTCTACAATATGAAAATTGTAGATGTATTAGAATCGATACTTCATGAAAAAAAAAAAACACAGCAATTCTTACCAGCTTGTTGAAATCCGTAAGTATCGTCTAAGAACTTTGTAACATTTCCCCTTGATATACCGGTAACTGCTTTATTTAGTATTAATTGGTGTAAATTATCCTTTACATCTGCGGCAGTTAATCTTTCATCATCTTTTGTCTCACGAATAAATAATGGGATAAGAACGTTAGTTGTACTAAGTTGATAATACTTATTTGATCCTAATCTACCGCTCTCGATAGGAATCATAAGTGTGAGTTCGTTTATTAATGTGACGAAGAAGTCGTGATTTTCTGAGTCGTTCAGTCTTTGAAAATATTGAGACCCAAAATCCGTTAATCGTAGCATTCCTCGAATATCTCCTAACTTATTAATAGATTTTGAGTTAATATTAAGCATATCGATATATGAAATATATGAATAAGTTATAAACAATTTTAAATTACATTATCAATGTTCTTTTTATTCAGTGTAATTCTATTCTCTATTCGAAGAAATTCATTATTAATAAGTCATTTTAAATAGCAAAGAACTATATATTATACCTGTTTGGAAACTCCATGTATTTGGATCAATTCCAAGTAAGGGCTCGCTATATTCGTCATTCTTTACAAAATTATTATCCATCTGTATATAATAATGACCACCTGGATCATTAAATGTGCAATTAAGCACTTTAATTGTTAGGACTACTCCTGAAATAATACATCCGTTACTAATACTACAAACACTTGAATTAATAAACTGTCGAACAATATCAGTTTGGTCAATTTTTTGGTAAATAGTTAAACTAGCTTCTGAAAACGAAATAGGTTCATTGAACGTGATATTAATCTTATTTGTATTCAAAGGTAGATCCGTGGCGTTCATTGGAGGGTACGTTGCGCTCACATGTATATTACCATAACCACTATCTATAAAAGTCAAAAATAATTATTCTTTAACTAAAAAAAAAAAAAAAAAAAAAAAAAAAATTCATTTTCATACTATTAAATTTAAAAATATGTACTATTATTCTGTGGCAGAACGATTGAAAGAATTTTCCAAGAAGTAGTCGTTCCATTTAGTGCCACTAGATTCGTATTATTTTGTAATATATCAAATGCGCCATCAAAATTTGCAATAATTTGTTTCAGTTGAGAATTATAATTGTCATTCTCATCATAAATATATAAGGTGTAATTAGTGCAGTAGATTCCATAATATGCACGGCTTATTAATGCATATCCTCCGAAAGGTAGTGTTCTGAAATTCGCTAAATACCCTTTGTTTGGTGGTATTATTGGATCCAATGATATCACAGATCCGGTGGAAAGAAAACGTATTTTAATATAAAAAGTTTCTGTAGTTATATTAGGCGGTGCAGTGTTGTTAACTATGGTGACATTAACTGGAGGGATAACCTGTACGACAGCAGTTGTAGTTGCGCCAACAAGTGTAGTTGTGGTTACATTAGAATAAGTAACGTTGACAGTTGGGATAAAAATTCTATGTTGTACGGATATAATGCATGTATGACCGGTGAAAGCGTAATCGACAGAACAATACACGTTTGCGAATGTTAGATTAGAAGTAATCATTTCATATAAAATAGTTCTTTGGCTGGTTCTTGTTTGATTATAACCTAATAATATTGCGTAGATTCCTGCTTTTGCGGTAATTAGAGCGGATAACGGATCAGAAGTTTGAAAGCTATTGGTCGTGTTAGCATATACAATTGCATATCCATCATTTAGAGTTGCAAATACGGTAACTTGAACGCTGGTGACTGCATTCAAAACACTCAAAACTGTGTCATTCTGTAATAAAGAGAACATTCCATTTCCATTGCTGTAAAGAAAATAAATGATTTGGTACACATTTACTTAATTAACAAATACATAAATTCAACGTACTGTTGATATTGGGCCCATTTCCAAGAATCTATTCTATTAACAGTTGTCGCAGATAAACGTAAGAAACCTTTTTGGGGAGTAATATTATTAACTATATTTTCATTCGGAATCCAAATTGTGCCTTGGGACAAGTAAGATTGTCCAAAATCGAGTTTGCTGTCGCAAGATAATATATAATTAATTGCATAATCAATTATTATTGAAATTTTTTTTAAATATTTATATTATTAACAAACCTTATAACATTTCCACTCCAATCAAAAACCATCCCACGGTCCGTATAAGTTGTATTGTCAGAGGTATTAGTTGCATGAGTATATGTTACTAAAATGTATTGGTCAAATAACGGGTAAAAGTTTATGGGATTTTTTAGACCACTTTCAACCATACAATAATTGATATCTTGTATTTCGGTAGCATTAATATAATTTATTTCGATAACACTTCCATTTGCTTGAATAACACGAAGTAATAACCTCTGCTCATAACAATAATTAAAGGTGAAATAATTGAAGTAATTCATCCGAGCGACGCGAACAATTGCTGTGCCTGAATTATCACTATAATGTTTAATTCCTAAAATTTGAGGTTGGGCTTCGGTAAGATTATCATATATACTGGGTTTTTCTTGATAAGTAAAGTATGAATATTCTATTACATTTTGTGTAAATCCTGTTGGTAAAAAAGTCAACAGGAGAATAGTAATAACCATGAATCTTAAATTATGAGATTGAGTTTTCATATCTGCAAAAAATATAAACTATCATTAAGGCCATATAAACTTAATTTTTTGTTTCTCATAACATGAAACAAAAAAAATGACCCACCCGCCCGGACTTTTATTTAAAAATTTTATATATAAAAAATTTTAAATTTTATAAAATTTTTAAAAAATTTTTTTTG